AATCATATGTGATGGTCTGTGGGGCACTCACCTCTGACTGGTATAGCTGCATCAGAAATCGTGTGGCTCCTTTCACATGGTGTGCATCAACTGGGACGTGCCAGAGCACACTCCACTCGCCTTGTTCTTCCGTGTGGGCCAAGACCACCAAGTGCGCTTCGCCCGCGCGGCCTCGCAGTATCTAATTGACTAGCGAAGCCGGACCAGCGCCCCGCAGCTTTGCCCGGTGCATCACGCTTGCCTCGGCAGCACCAGACAGCAGGCAATCGACGGATCTCTTCACCCGCATCGCCGAGATGGCTGTGTTGTCTTGCTGAAGAGTTTCATCATCGGGCAGGGGCACGTCATTGAAAGCCACCAGAGCCCGCACGAAACTAGCTTCCACGTCACCAATACAAATCAACCCTAACTGCACATCGACCTGCAGCATGTTCAAAGGTGCCACGGGACAGCCAGTATTCAACTGGCAGTGCGGAACTTTCCGCTGGAGCGCGCCAGGCTCGACGACAGCGCTCGCTCCGCTGGCCCGCCAGCACGGCTGCAGATGACGGCACTCTAGCTCTAGAGTTTGTTGATACTCGTTTTCACGGAAAGTGAATCTGCAAAGCCACTGGGCCCCCCGGAACAAGTCACGCAGCTGCAGGCGCACTGCCGGGGTGTCGTGCACCGTGTCGGAGAGCGTGCAACCCATGCTGGCGGCTGCTCGCAGCACCAGTTCGTGGTACAGCACGACGGTGCACTGGCAGTTGCAATCTGCGAGCGTGAGCCTGAGAGCAAAGCGCTTCTCGGTGCCGACCGTGGGATGTGATAAGGTTCTTTTAAAACAAAGACCAAAAACGAAAAGACATCACACAAAAACGGTTCGACTCCATGCCTCGCACGGTGCTGCCTTTTTGCATTTCACACACGAATCGATGAGCCACACATCCGTTTCCGTCTTCACAGACGAAATGCCCAAAACTTGCAAACCGACAACTTCAAAGACTATCTCCAACTTCCGCAATTGCCCAGGCACGATCGCTCCCACCAGAGCGCTCAAGGATGTGACGGTGGCAGGGCAGCCAATCCAATCCTTCACCGGAATTTCGGTCAACATGCGGCAATTGTCTTGGTGGGCCAGTTCTGCCTGCCTGCAGCAAAGTTTGTTGAGCAAAAGTTAAAACAAAGGTCACAACCAAAGTGTGTGAAACATCATACAGCCAAGAGACATCGCCGTCGCCATCTCTGCACTGCATGCCACAAGAGAAGTGCCTCGCCAGCTGCCGATCTCCCACGATCTTTCATCCTTGCGCTTGGTGATCAAAACCTGGTAGAGCATCAGACTCGTTCCAGCTGGCTGCGCTGCCAATTCTTCGGCTTGCTCATGCCAAAAAGAACATCTCACTCGCGTTGTTCCTTGCTGCACAATAGCATTGCACACCAACGCAGCACCATCTTTTGTCTGACGTTCCACCGAACCCGGATTCTCCACAATTGTGACCGCAACACAAATCTGCTGTCGATCTCTGACCCGATCCAACGCAGAGAGCGGCACTAGCGGATGCACGGCTGGTATTCCCTGCCACGGATCTTCATGAAGCTTCTGCACAATGACCTGTAGTCCCAAAGGTCCTTTCAGATTCAAATGGTAATGGAACTGCGAGGTAGAGTATTGGGCTGGCGAAGCTACCATATTCCTTGGATAGAGACCAGACCACCGACCTGGCACTTTTGTGCTAACTTGTCATTGTCTCCGTTTTCGCCCCAAGCTTCCACGTAGAGCACTTCACTCAAGCTCTGCGTAGCAGCGACATGGGCTTCCAACTTCCGAAGCGGGCGGGTCTCCGGCTGCCCTTGCCTTTTCTGCCACCAGTGGGCGCTGCCGCCGCTTGTGTTCCTTTTCTCGACTGGATCTCCTGGTGCTTGAGGATCACAATGCGACCGGCCACGGCAGTGTTCTGGTCGCCGCGGTACTCGGATGGCTTCAAGCACGTCACTGCCATGTTCGTGCTTCTGGCTGTGCCCATGCGTTACCAACGTGCTATGCAGTTTGCTTCGATTTAAACCTGTGAGCCTATAAATGCTTTATTGCAAACCTTTGGTGGCTTTCTGCTCTGGTGGCTTCTTTCCACGTTGGGCCAAAGCCACCAGAACAGCAATCGATAATTACATATTGATCTAGAACACTGTTTGTACGGTGATGTTTGAGCTGACAAGTCATAACCACGAGTGCTGAGTCAGTGCTACCGAGCCAAAAGTAGATTCTAAAGGAGCACCTCTAGACACAAAGGTATCATATTTTGCGTTGCAACGAAATCTTCCAAGCAATCCGATGACAGCCGTGCCTCTCCTACAGCCACTCATCGGAAGGTGATAACATTGCGAGAAAGCATCTGGTTGTCAATGCACCTCATACACACGCATATTACAAGACACGCAGATCATAACAAGCATAGCAATTATACCATACACACGGCATGACATTTCTTACCCACAGCATGAACGCAGCAACAAGCACTCATCTTCTTGTTACACATATTTCACGCACGGACCGGACATGCGGTATCACTGGGGACTTCCTTTGTGTTCAATCTGCGCTCCAATGTCAAGTGTTTCATGCGAATTCTTCCCATAGTGGGCCAAATTCGAAGCTCATCGATACAATGGGCAAGCATTGGTTCTTTGCACGTTGCGCAAAACCACTCCGGACTCCTGTGTACCAGGAAGCGACCCGCAACGTTTCTTTGCACATTGCGGCAAAACTTGTTTCCGGATCACTGCGGAGACTGTCGTGAAAGCGGCCATCCACCTTGGTCACATGGACACTGAACACTTTGATCTCTTCGACGTTGGCGTCATTTCTGAGAGCGCTTGCTCGACAATATCACACACAGACAGTCGCCTCTTCTCCCAAGTCTTGAGCGCCCACAAAATGTGTGGCCTTTTGTCCCAAGGATTGAGAGTAGGACGTGCCTTCAAGAGCACATCAATGGCATCGTCTGCGTCCATTGCGTGCTTGAAGATCAGCCACGCAGCCAAAGCAGCGCTGCTCCGATTGATGCCACCAAAACAATGAAACAGCAAGCCAGTCGAGAGATTGTCTCCCCGCCCCAAAAGAGAACGACTGATTTTTATACACATATTTTGCCATGCGGCGAAATAGCAGTTGCCCATCTCTTCGCAAAAATAATCTTCTCCGGGCCACTTTGTTCTGGGATCGTGCAAGTCGATCGTGACGTGTTCCAGAGACATTCCAGTCAAGAATGCCGCCCAGCCTTCTTCAGGTTGTCCACGACTTTTTTGCATCTCAGATGTGCACAAACTGATGACAACATGCACTTCTTTCGTGTCCCTCAAACATCGCAGAGCTGCCAGGCTGCCCAGAAAACAGGTTGCAGTCTCCGTGCGGTCGACAGGGTGCACACGAACCATGTCGTTGGGCCACTCCGAAGTGTCACCAAAATGATATAGTCGAAGCCATTCACCAGTCGATCAACTTCTGGCCAGTCACTTTCCGGCATTGCGGTGCTGCGACGAAGCTTGGCAGCCGCAGCGGTGCACCATTGCTGCATTTCCGTGTCATACGGATCCATAACTGTAGGTGATCGATCCAATAGCTTCTTCGCACGTTGCACCAAAGCCGTCGGATCAGCAGCGAGTTACCGGTCAGAAGCTACACTCGTTTCAAAGCCAACAATGACTGCAGCGCAACGAGTCAGCCGACCAGCACAACTCATGGGAACATAGGTCGAAACATATTTCTTTGAACGCAGCCTGGACCAAGGACTCCTTTTGCCGCGCATGAATCTGGTTACTCCGATGCCATGTAAAAGAAAGACAAAAGTCACCACACATTGTTTCAACTTTTGTCGTTGATGTGCAAACAGCATCATTCAATGCCTCTGCGAGCGTCAGGTATAAGCAGGTTGCCGTAGTCTGGACCAGCGTCCTTCTTCCGCGCATGAATCTGGTCACTCCGATGCCATTGAAAAGAAAGACAAAAGTCACCACACATTGTTTCAACTTTTGTCGTCGATGATTTTGCAAACAGCATCATTCAATACCTCTGCGAGCGTCAGGTAAGAAGGTTGCAATATTCTGCATGATGGGAGCACAAAACGATTCTGCATATTCCATGTCAACAAACGAAGTGGCATGCAAACCTTTAAAGCCTAGAAAACTTTTTTCTCCAGGACCATGGAATGCATTTCTGAAAGTACGCCGCTAAAATGCGATTCAACTAACGTTACCACGTCCAATACTGCACTGCAATCAGCAGTCAGGCTGGCCAACCATCGATGATCCCAATTGGCAAATCGGACAGCATGAGTTTTACAGACATTTTTATAGGAAGGTCCATGTTTGGGCTCACCATTCGTCAAAGGTGGAACTTGCGCGTCATCCATGTAAAAGGTTTGAAAGGCTTCCCAAGACGAGGCCATAATCCACCAACAAGCTTGAAACCGCACTGGTTCCACAAAAGTATGTTTGGTTCTCTTCTGCCGGTAGCTCTGACCAGCCATTTCCCAAGCTTGCCGTGGCACTGTCTTTGGGCGTGGTTCAGCCGGAGCCGGGGTGCCATCAGAATGTTGAAATCGTTGAAGATAATTCAACCGCGTTGAAACTTGGATAGGTAAAGTCACCTTCAGGCCACTACCAAGAGCAGACCGAATCAGATCTGGAGTCAGTCGTGGCATCTTTTCTACAACCATGGACTGAATGAAGTGATGCGTTTCCTCCCTTCTCATTTCCCAAGTTTTCAATGCCCATAAGATATGAGGTCGTTCCTGCCAAGGATTCAACGTAGGTCGCGCTTGCAATAATAATCGAATTCCTTCAGAGGCAGTCATATGATGCTGAAATACCAGCCACACGACCAAGGCAGCGCTGCTGCGATTGTCTCCGGCAAAGCACTTGCAGTCCGGCAGGAACGTCCTCTTTGCAATTTCTCCGAGACCTGCAGATGAGGATGCACATGCTGCGCCATGCGGAGAAATATGCATTCGCCATCCTTTGGCACAAGCCACCTTCACCTGGCGCTGTTGTTTTCGGATCATCGAGTTCCATTGCAAAGTGGTCGATGCACAGACCACGAAGAAAATGCTCCCAGCCTTCCTGAGGACGGTCAACAATGTTGCGGAGTGCAGGCGGACCAAAGCTCACCACGATGTGGATGCGATCTTCTTGTGTGAGGCAGCGCAACGCTGCCGAGCTTCCGAAGTGAAGTATTTCCGGGGAGCCACCACCGATGTCGTGCACGCAGACCATGTCTTTGCGATCTTCGCGAACGTCTGTCGCATCTCGTTCCAGTGTGGCATCTTGTGCCCAGCTGCGATGGATGCGTATCTGCATCTGGACACACCAGTGCCGCATCTTGCGGTTATATGGCTCCATGGCATTGAGATGTAGGATCAAAATGAACAAGACAAGCTGCGGATATCAAGTCTGAAACTCAGATATGGACAAAATCGGCCGGGACAAACAAGACAAGCTCCAGGACAACAGAAAATCGCTGCTCCGGTCGTTTCTTTCCACGTTGGGCCAAAAAAAACAGAGCAGCGAGAGATGATCCGATAACCACATCTTTGACTGCGCTAGGCTTCACAAAACGTGTGCAAATAACAAAAATCGAACTTGAAATCGAACTTGACTGACTATGTCATTGATTCGGTATGCCGGAGCAACCCAAGCAGCAAACATCATCGGATGATGAGGTGATAAGTTGCGCAATGCAAGAACTTGACCATCAGTGCCACGCCTACCACGCCAAACGACGGTAGATGTGAGTTTGTGCCACGCCTGCCACGCGAAACGAACGTCGATGTGACATTGTGCCGCGCCTGCCACGCAAAGTGCCGCGGCGTCACGGGCGACCAAATCAGACCAAGCACGCCACCCAGTGCCATCAGTGCCACGCCTACCACGCCAAACGATGGTAGATGTGAGTTTGTGCCACGCCTGCTTCGAAAAACGATGGTAGATGTGAGTTTGTGCCACGCCTGCCACGCAAGGTGCCGCGGCGTCACGGGCGACCAAATCAGACCAAGCGCCACCCAGTGCCATGAGTGTCACGCCTGCCACGCAAAACGATGGTAGATGTGAGTTTGTGCCACGCCTAGCGCGCCACCCAGTGCCATCAGTGCCACGCCTGCCACGCAACGCCTGCCACGCAAAACGATAGTAGATGTGAGTTTGTGCCACGACTGCCACGCAAAACGACGGTAGATGTGAGTTTGTGCCACACCTGCCACGCAAAGTGACGCAGATGTGAGTTTGTGCTACGCCTGCCATGCAAAACGACTGTAGATGTGAGTTTGTGCCACGCCTGCCACGCAAAGTGCCGCGGCGTCATGGGCGACCAAATCAGACCAAGCGCGCCACCCACTGCCATCAGTGCCACGCCTGTCACGCAAAACGATGGTAGATGTGAGTTTGTGCCGCGCCTGCCACGCAAAACGACGGTAGATGTGATTTGTGAAAGATGGTGTGTGACAAAGTTGTATGTGAAAGATGGTATGTGACAAAGGTGGGTGTGAAAGATGGTGTGTGACAAAGTTGTATGGGAAAGATGGTGGTTGACAAAGTTGTGTGTGAAAGATGGTGTGTGACAAAGTTGTATGTGAAAGATGGTGTGTGACAAAGTTGTGTGTGAAAGATGGTGTGTGACAAAGTTGTGTGTGAAAGATAGTGTGTGACAAAGTTGTATGTGAAAGATGGTGTGTGACAAAGTTGTATGTGAAAGATGGTGTGTGACAAAGTTGTGTGGGAAAGATGGTGTGTGATAAAGTTGTGTGTGAAAGATGGTGTGTGACAAAGTTGTCTGTGAAAGATAGTGTGTGACAAAGTTGTATGTGAAAGGCGACCAAATCAGACCAAGCGCGCTACCCACTGCCATCAGTGGCACGCTTGCCACGCAAAACGATGGTAGATGTGAGTTTGTGCCACGCCTGCCACGCAAAACGATGGTAGATGTGAGTTTGTGCCATGCCTGCCACGCAAAGTGCCCGCGGCGTCACGGGCGACCAAATCAGACCAAGCGCGCCACCCAGTGCCATCAGTGCCACGCCTGCCACGCAAAACGATGGTAGATGTGAGTTTGTGCCACGCCTGCCACGCAAAGTGCCGCGGCGTCACGGGCGACCAAATCAGACCAAGCGCGCCACCCAGTGCCATCAGTACCACGCCTGCCACGCAAAACGAACGTGGATGTTAGATTGCCACGCCTGCCACGCAAAACGATAGTAGATGTGAGTTTGTGCCACGCCTGCCACGCAAAGTGCCGCGGCGTCACGGGCGACCAAAGCAGACCAAGCGCGCCACCCAGTGCCATCAGTGCCACGTCTGCCACGCAAAACGATGGTAGATGTGAGTTTGTGCCACGACTGCCACGCAAAACGACGGTAGATGTGAGTTTGTGCCACACCTGCCACGCAAAGTGCCGCAGATGTGAGCTTGTGCCACGCCTGCCACGCAAAACGACTGTAGATGTGAGTTTGTGCCACGCCTGCCACGCAAAGTGCCGCAGATGTGAATTTGTGCCACGCCTGCCACGCAAAACGACGGTAGATGTGATATGTGAAAGATGGTGTGTGACAAAGTTGTATGTGAAAGATGGTGTGTGACAAAGGTGGGTGTGAAAGATGGTGTGTGACAAAGTTGTATGGGAAAGATGGTGGTTGACAAAGTTGTGTGTGAAAGATGGTATGTGACAAAGTTGTATGTGAAAGATGGTGTGTGACAAAGTTGTGTGTGAAAGATGGTGTGTGACAAAGTTGTGTGGGAAAGATAGTGTGTGACAAAGTTGTATGTGAAAGATGGTGTGTGACAAAGTTGTGTGGGAAAGATGGTGTGTGACAAAGTTGTGTGGGAAAGATGGTGTGTGACAAAGTTGTGTGTGAAAGATGGTGTGTGACAAAGTTGTGTGGGAAAGATGGTGTGTGACAAAGTTGTATGTGAAAGATGGTGTGTGACAAAGTTGTACGTGAAAGATGGTGTGTGACAAAGTTGTGTGTGAAAGATGGTGTGTGACAAAATTGTATGTGAAAGATGGTGTGTGACAAAGTTGTATGTCAAAGATGGGTTGACAAAGTTGTATGTGAAAGATGGAGGGCGGGAGGCGGGAGGTTGACAAAGAGAGGAGGCGGGAGGAGGCGGGGAGGAGGCGGGGCGGCGACCCGGGATACAGAATCAAAAAAAAGAACCCCACACAAAGTTGTGGGGAATAAAAGGAAATTGATCATTTCGGGGGACCTGTTTTTTTGGTTGAAATGTTCTAGTTTAGGAGCTTCAGACATCCAGGGTTGCTACTCCCCAAAGGGAATTACGTATATGATATATACCCTTATACATGGAAGAGACCCAATTCCTTGCAGAACTACATACATAGAATATAGGTCCCCAGTGAAAATATTCATCAATTTTTGAGGAACACC